GAGACGAGACGTTTGAGATGTCACATTAATGCTCTCGATATATCACGCGCAGGTTATTTTGTTCTTTACACACACAGAGGCCCTCCTGCCTCGCGGTTATCACATTGAAGCAGGTTAAGCGCACCATCAAAGCCGCCATATTGGAGTACCAGTACGATCAGAAGCGGCACCCATGAGATAACGTGCTAGGTCGCGAGGTGCGCGATGCGTGCTCTGATATGCGGTTTGTTATCTTGGCGAAGCGCTGGCTGCGAGCAGTTGATTGCCGATAAGCTGACTATCGAGACTTCGCGTCTCGCTACAATCTGCGCGTCATTAATGTCTTGCCTAAAATATGTGTTGATTGGGGCTAGAAGCAGTTACTCAGAAAAATTCAGTTGAATTTTTTTTTATATTTCTATGGTTAGGTATAGTTAAGTTGATCTTCCAAATGGGTCAGAAATGGCCCAGAGCCTGACTATGGGTTAAGGAGTTTGTGTTCTCCCGCTAACGCTCAACTATCGCTCAACCTTTCACCACTCTACAAGATCAAAACTGAATAGCCTATGAGAGCCTGGAGAGTATGACTTATGTCTAAACGTGCTTACATCACATTGCATCTTTCCCTCTTCACTCTTTTCATCCCTCAAAGCACACTAATTGGCTTGCATGTGCTGGCAAACTGGACGCAAGTCTCGTTGTTCTTTATCCTCCTAGAGGAGTCGGTTAAAATTTGCAGGCCTCTCATATACTTGCAAGTTTGTGTAGATGCGATCAGCAGATGAATAGGTAAGCCGTTTGTTTAGCTGAAGGGTTATACCGTTTCCACTAACTTGACAAACATTTTATAACTACTGGATGGAAGTTTACGGGCTCAAACTTTTTTTTATTTTTTTGTATTCCTCTTCTTTAATACTGGCATTCTGCCACCCAACTACTACAATTGGAATAGTCCACTGTAGTGGCTTAGCGCGTAATGTGTCACGCTGCCATGGTCGAGGACGTATATTAGTTTTTACAGCCATGCCGCATCATTTTGGTGAAGGTGAGAGCAGTTATATTGCTTCGTTATCCTATTGTGGCTTTGAGACCTATAACTCCTGAACCGGGGGCAACCTCTCCCTCTCTTGCTTCGCAACTCCTACTCAGGCAGCGCCTGCTTGCAAGTTTCTTTATGAAAAAGTAAACTACATCTGCCAAAAGGGAACCCTGATGGAATGCGAAGCAGCAGCGTTGCACACGGCCATTCGTCGGAGGGCACGCTTCAGCTTCGAGACGTTGCGGACGACGACGTCAAGAAATCGCCGGCGTTGGCCTTCCGCTGTCGGCGCTTCCTTGGCCCACGTTTCGTCGGTGTTACCCGTAACCCGCGCACCACCTCCAGTCTCGAACGCGATTGGCGTGCTTCACTCGCACCTCGTCGGTGTCGTTGAATCTTCCATGCCGACGCTTGCGTTCGGCTTCCCTGGCTCGTGCCTCGTCGGTAGAGGCACGATGTCGCAATTCGAGAACGAGATGAGATCTGCCATCTTTCACAACGCCGGCGACGATAGGGTTCTCAGTGATAGGGTTAGGCCAAATCGCTTCGACGCATCTTTTGGCGGGAGAAAGAGCTTCGCGTTCCGGCGTCTTCTCCATCCCAGATAAACCAGCCGAAAGAGTGTTCCTTCGATGTGAGCTCGGACGTTGCGAGCGGTGGGGAGGGTGAAGCGAGAGAGAGGTGACACGCGGCCGGCAAGAGAGTGGCGTCACCGCGCACTGCGAGGGAAGGCGTGACCTACTTGGCACCGTCTCAACACCTGCGGCGATGGGAGCCCGGAGCGGCACGTTGGCACGGAGACACAGACGGACAGCGTTACACAGGCTAGTCAAAAAGCTGCTTTGCATCTAAGAACCGACTGCTCGCGCTGTGCAACCATTCACTGTCTACCTCGTAAATATAGGCAACGGATCTTAACCTCCAAGGTAGTGTCGGTATCGGATTCTTTCTGTGCGTCGTTGAATGAAAATTCGCAGCATGCGCGTCAACTAAAAGTGGACCGCGGGTCTCTGAGCCCAATCAGAGTATTCCGTCTCTCATCGCCCACTAGCGGCGATTGGTATGATCCAGTAAGAAACGCCGGTCCATCCCTGCGTGCTTTGCGCCTCCCCAGGTATCTCTTCTGCGCAACGCCGCGATGAGCGCCAGCGTCAACGCCACCGCCAGTGTAAACGTTAGCACCCGCTGCTTCTGATCCACGCATGGTTCCCTTTAGCAGGAGATGGCGTAATCGTTTGTTTACAGCTGCACTTAACCGAATAATATATGATGCATTGCACTGGTTATGCTATTGCAATGCAGAATATGCACACGTACACAAAGGGATGGGGGACAGACCCCTCTACTCTACAGTGATATATTTCTGGCTACACCACTACCAATTCTGAAGAGTGAAGGCACCAAGCAAAAAAAAAAGTTATTCTGACCTAAACTTAACTTGTGGCAGTTGAGAGTACAAAAGGACACGTAACAAGAGGAAGACTTGTATGGACACAGGTGCTTGTCTTCCTCTTGTACGTGTCTTTCCTTCTATGCACTCAACTTGTACAAGAATGGCCAACCAAGAAGCCCGCATCGCCACCCGAAGCTTGAATGGTGGTGTGCGAATGGGGAACTTAGCGGGCTCTTGTGTGCTCACACTTGTATAAGTGTGGCCCCAGTTTGAAGATTTTTTTCAGGTGCCCCGCCAGCACTGAAAACAATGGTAGTATCAATGGAGGTTCAAGCTTAAGATCTTAAGGGCAGGAACATCGTGTTCTACCACCTTGTTCATAGACAGGTCGGCAAAACATGTGGAGCTGACTCGGACTCACTCATGAAATACATCTTGAGTTTAGGGCTCACTCGGAATCAAACTCACGAATAGACTCAATCCGAGTCAAACTCACAAAAACATCAATCACCCGGCCTCACATCTCAATCTGAATGAGTCTACTCATGAGTCTGTCAGCCTCGAATTAGCTTCTTCAACCATGGTACCAATGCTCTTTAACAACAATATCTCATGTAATCGATACTCTTCTTGGTGTCATTTGACATATATAGTATCTGAAAAAATGAGTTCCGAGTGCTTCCAAACCAGTAATACCATTTTTCTTGGAAGAGATAGCATAACATACAATAATCAAGAAATTCTCTGGAAGAGTTGACAGGGGTAGGTCAACCTACCCCCCTTTGTAATTCATGCTTCTAATTATTAAATATAAAACAGTGTATGAATAACACTGCTTTGTAATACCTGTGCACAGACATGAGTGTAAATGTGAATCGAGGTAAGGCTGATAGTAAAGCTGAAGATGACTAAAATAGGACATTAGGTCGGCAAAAGAAAGTGTAACTCACTCAGACAACATACTTTGCGCTCTGGACTCACTCCGACTTGGACACACCAAAATTTTCCCGAGCCAAATTCACTCGAACTCGCACTCACAAAAATTTTCTCCAAGGGGACTCACTCGAACTCATGAATATATTTATCACCCGGACTCACTCACGGGATCAATCTGAGTCTGAGCGAGTCCGAGTGAGTCTACAGGTGAGCGTGTTCACAGATCTATGGAGATAAATATGAACCAGATTTCGAGCAAAGAGTGCATTAATTCCCATCGCCCAATGGAAAAGCACATATGACCTATGGCGCTTTCAAACTGGGATGCCTAAATTTTATCATATCAGTTTCTGCAGGGCTCATTAGTTCCTGCAATAAAAAAAAGACAAGAATTACTGACTGATTAAGAACAGCGAGTGTATAAATAAATTTCTTATGTATGGGTCTTGCACATACCCACAATAAGGGATGAAGCAGTTCTTTTCATGCATTATGTGAATCGAACAGTGAAATTTCATATGTGCTAGTTGCTATATCACAAAATGAATAAATCATGAATGGTCCTTTCCCAAGAGGTCAGTTAGAATCCCATGTTGGCTTGTCTGCAAATATTTGGGGCATCTGCGGTGGAAAAGTGATATCTTCATGGAATGATGATTGCATAAGAGCTACAACTTGAGATATCAATTCTGGGTTAACCAACTAACTCTTCCAACGGCCAAATCCATCCTTTTCTACTGCACGAATACGTGGTCTGTTTAAAAAAATGGGCCCAAGAAGCCTAATTATTTGGAAGGTGCAACATTCACTCACTTTTTATAATTACTTTGCTATAGTGGCAGACATTTTAATGTGACTAGAGACGTCAAATTATAACTAAAGACAATAGATGAACTTTTTCATTGGCTGTGACAGGAATTCTGATCAGTTGGAAGAATCAGTGCACTCCCTGAGAATAACACAGTGCCACTTTGAGACTTTTAAAATGGGACACTGGCTATTTTCGCAGTCATGAAATCTGACCAGCTGTGTTGGCGAAACTGGATCGATACTTGATGGCTGAGAGGCATACTGCCAACTCATTCTCAGTCACAGTGATCAACATATCTGCATTAGAGGCCCACTTTAATGCATTCTACTTGTTTCCTTAAAGACTTTTTTTTTCCATATTTAAGCTCTTGAAGAAGTTGATGTCCCAAGTTAGATTGCACAAAAACATACCTTATGTAACTACTAGAATTCCTTTAAAGGCTTGTAGAGATCTGTGTTAAAGAAATAAAATTGTGATGTTCTTCAAGCTGACAAATAACATTTCCAACTTGCATTGGTCGGTCTGGCCAAGGTTGGTTGCAAGGAATGAAATATTGCTACGATAAAGGGCATCCTTACATTAACTGTATACTTTGCCTTAAACTGTGCAGTTGCCAGAATTAATGTTTTGTTCAGCAAAATGCAAAAGTGAACGAAATGCACTAAAGAACTTGTTTCGAATTTTTTGTTCAAATTTATGCTGGAAAAAAAAACTGCTCATTCTACTGCAAAAATCACATGAATTTGCCTGCCATACTCGCATTATTAAGCTGATCACACTCGACATCAGCTTGGTAGAAGTGATAAAAAATTCTTGAATTGTCGCTGGAGCCAATGGTTTAGTAAAGGTAGTCGCAATATTTCATTTATTCAAGCAAATATATCCTCTTGAACATCTGTCTTTTTAGTTTCAGCCCAAAATTGAAAGTTTGAGGATTCACAATGTCGCAATACTCGCCTTGAAAAATTCGAAATTCATTTTGATTCAACTATTTATTAACAAGAACTAATCTCGTAAAAAGACAATATCGCCAATAAAGGTAATTTCACAATACATCAAAAGCACATTATACCAACAGAAAACATTTGTTCTTGCAACGAGCTAATGTGCTTATTCTAACAAACAATAAGCTTCCTGTAAAACAACTATCACATATATCTTAGCGGAATGTCAGGTAAAAAGGACCTTGGCATGCCCAAAGATTATATAATCAAACGTAGCACACCGCCACTGAAACAAATATAAATTTGGGCACTTATTCTGAGTGAGACAAGAAAGCACACATAAAGCTACAATCATGCACATACATTAGTGTCGCTTATTTGCAAATATACCATCAGAAAGGCCTGGGTGCAGTGGACACCAGGCTTGAAAATAGAAATGAAATGGGCTAATAACGGTATACATCACGTTTGTTGACCAAGCCTTTCTTGCACCACATTAAAGCATCCTGTATATATAAGATTTTCTGTGCTCCCAGGTATGGCGTGCGAAATTCTAAGCAGCAGTAACCAGGTAAGCAGGATACGATTTGAAACAGACTAGATATACAGCACCCACATTCACGTCTACTGCTCCCTAAAGATGCACAAATGTACATGTTGAGCAAACTATATTATAATTTTGATAATACATGGGTACTAGACCTCTGAAAAACCCATCGACTAGTTCAGCTCATGACTACTTTAATAGCCTTCTAACATAATGTAGTGATTTCAAAGGCAACTTGGCATGTCGTGAAACTACTGGCATGGCCATCTTGTTTACAGTACAGGTCGCATGTTTAACCGTGTATGTACGCAAATAACGGTTGGTTTACACTCACTGGTAAGATATAAAAATAAATTATCTCCCATAGGCCAATATTAACTGCTAACAAGCATCTGGCTTTGTGAACAAGCACTGCACACTATCATTCAGCACTCCACGGGCAAAACGATCAAACTGATTTCACTGCTGCTTTGCAGATCCACCTGGTGCCGAAAGTGGGCCAGATGCGTTGAGGATGGCAGATGGAATGTGAGCCTTTGTTTTGCTCGTGGACGTTCCAAACAGCTCAGGACAGCCAACAGACCCATCTTGGATCTTTGACATCAGCAGAAGCAAATCATAGTTGATACGCTCACTGACAACAGAGTCCTGCTTGTAGTCCGGGTGCGTAGTGATGAACTTGCGCATCCATGATGCAGTCGTCAACAGTTCTCCCGATGCCCTTTTCTGAATGAGATTGAGATAATGCTGAACGGTACATTGAGTGTCCACATCTACATCCATGCTTGAAATGAACATACGGATGAGTGGAATAAGGCCAGGGAATTCGCCCGGCTTTCCATTAATGATCTCATCGATACTCATTTCAGTGAGAAAATCGTGATGCTCAGTTCCGCCTGCACTCAGGGTTGGGGCCAGGCTAGGTGGGCTGTGGCAAGTCAGAATGTCCTTGCGAAACCAAAACTTCTGAGTTCGCACGGCATCCCGCTTCTGGGCAGCCTCCATGTTTTGGTCAACTTTTGAGATTGGAATAAGGAAGCTCAGCTTGTACGAGAGTATCACACGGGTCAGCAACACGACAAAGACAACGTAGGCAGCATTCTCAAACTCGGTCATTTGCAGCTCAGACGGTCTGAACTCAACGCGCCAGCCAATGCTGCTGTTCGGCGGCGGAGGCTTGAAGCGCATCGAGTGCCAGTTTGTGGACTGAAGATTTTCAAAATGGTCAGTATCCTCTTCATCGTTCTGGTCGACTTTCTCACTGAAGAGGCTGATGGGGTCTCTGATGAAGAGGTGAGCCACGTGCTGAGCCAAAAGCGGGTCTATGTCAGCGGATCGCAGCCTGTTGTAGATGTCTTGGTCGTAGACGACTTTCACATCGTTGTACTTCTCACCGAGTTTTGATATGTAGCACTCAATGGTGGAGTAACGTGATTTGCGAATGACGAACTTGTTCTCGCACAGCGGCTTTAATCCCAGCTCCTCGTCTGTTCTATCATCGACCGAGCTGACAATCACGTTCCAACGGCAGTCCCTCTCGGTGAGATAACCTCGGAACACTGGCGACGCCGCGCTCAAGGCAAGCATGATAGGGCAAACCGGTGCCAACTGGTCGTACAGCACGCGCGCTTCACTGATGTTGCTTGCCTGGAATGTAACCTGGAGGCAACAGTTACCCATACCGAAGCCCATTGAATCCATGTAGACATGGTCCGGTAACGCCGCTTTGGCAGCCTCCCCATCATCGCCGAGCTTGGCGTAATCCTCGACGAAGGGGCTGGGAGTATTTTTGTCTTTGAAAATGGGCACATTGATCACAACTTTCTTGCCGCGACGCTCGCGGATATTGCGCACCAGGGTTCTGAAACGCGGGTGGCCTGAAAATGTAGCCTCGTCGGGAAAGAAGAGAGAACGCATGTTGCTGTCTTTAGGATGCGGCTGGTACACGGGGTGGGTGAATCCGGGGCAGCCCAGGCGAGGAAACGTCGTCACGCACAGAACTTGCTCGCCTTGTTGCAGGTACGCGCTTGCTTCGTCTCGCCGGGCCTTCATGTTCGCCTCGACTACGTTGAAGTGCGAAATGAGGCTGCCGTAGGGTTTCCCCGGCGTACCTTCAATCATGTACGCGCCGAACTCGGGACGCCACAGCGACTTTACGTTGTTCGGATCACGACGCTCTTTCTCCTGGAGGGCAGGCAGGATTTCATTCGCCCTAAGGCTCACCTGAGCTGTCTTTTTGGCGTGGTCGAAGTAGACGATGATGTACTCCACTTCGTCGCCCCATTTGAGGCAGTCATTCTCGCGGTCTTTCAGGCGCCGATACTGGTTGATGAACTGCGTGACGGCATGCTCACGGACGTGATTCGCTAATTTCTTCGTTTCCGGCCACGAAAGCGGCGATCCTTCGCTTAACAGCCCCATTATTCAGCCACTCACACGCTCATTCACGGCAGCCGCCTCCCGTTTCAGCTTTGCACTAATCTACGAATGCGCATGCGCGGTGCAAAAACCGCAGCGCCACCGCCGGCGTTATTTCAAACGCGGTTTCGATTTCGGTTTCGATTCCAGAAAACTTGTCGCTTTCTCTTCGTACCTCAACCCAAGCACGAGTAACTGTGCGACCGGAGGTGACTGAATTTTCCAGTGCTCGTTCTTTTGAAAATTCAGTATTTGGCACTTGTTAGCCGTTTTGTCTTGGTATATAAATACACCAAGGTGATAGCGGCTGACAACTGTGGCCTGGAAGGGTGTCTTTTTTTTTTGTTTATTCGAAAGATTGCTCTTTGGCATAAAAATATACATAAAAACGACACAGGTTCCTCACACATAAATAAACAAGTTACACTCATGCATGAAGTTTAAGAAGAATTGTTGGAAAGGTTTTATTATCTACGGAAAAGGGTGTCTTGTCCTGCTGTTTGAGAATCGCGCGTGTACGATAAGTGTAGGTTGGTACTCTACCGTGAACTTGTTAAAATGCCAGGACCAATGAACATAGCGAATGCGGCAAAAAAGTTTGCAAGAATCCTCTTGGCTTGATCAGTTGAGCTAAGCTTCTGAATGTGACCAACACCACCATCAATAGCCTCGCTGCAGCATACCTTTCATAAATTAAATATTCCCTGTTTAGACGTTTGCTATTTCAAGTTCAATATTTGCAATATTCAAACATACGCTGGTACAGACTCGTTCGCGTGGCTCACAAATCTCTTCCGCAGCACAGCGGGACTTGCCACCCTTTGATTTCCGTGGTTTGTCCGTATAGCATTAATGAATGAAGTTTAACTAAAATGCAGCTGCAAAGCGACAGTATCGTGGGAGTAACGTACAAATGAGGTCAGTGTGTTAACGATCTCCACAGGTACACACGGAGAGATTAAATCACTTTTTTTCTTCCTTTAAATATCAGCGTCCGTTGCAAACGAAAAATAAGAGAAAAAAAGACTGAATTTTCAGTGTATCAGCATGAAAAAACGACTCCCAGTATGAGTTGCTTGAGCGTCATTTTCAATTAATTTTTCTTGCTTGTCACGGTGACTAGCGTTGTCTTGCCTCTGGCAGGGCGATCGAGAAACCGGGATGAAACAAAACATAGACCGACAAGAAACGAAGGACAAACAGATATAAGTAAGAACACACATACATACAAAACGATAGGACGTATTGAGTATTCAAGCGAATGTAACGAGACGACGAAATGCGAATGTAGGCCTCTCATTTCGGCCCTCCGCCGGGCATGTCGCGTTTCCGTTTAATTTCTTCTCTTTCAGTTCTCAGGTTGCTACCATCTTCTACACGGTGCGCGCGACAGTGACTGCATATGGGTGGTGGGAGTGGGCAAGGGGGAAGTTTTCATATCCGTGCCCCGCCTACCGCACTGTATCTTTCTTACGCACCAAGCAAGACAAACGAATCAGTATTGTAGTCTGTGTTACTTCCCTTCGATCTTCCTCCCTCGTGAAGATTAACAGAACAGCACCCCTACGGTCTGGCTGTCATATTCCGGACCCAGTCGCCCCCGTATGCAGGTATGTAGCGAGGGAAGCTCCTAAGAACAACTGCTTTACGACAAGCCCGCGCGGCTCATACAAAAAGAGCCTGTCGTTCGTGGTGTCCGTATCTTACGCACTAAAACACATAACGGCTACTCCTCAACGCATAAACACACACGCATTCACAAACGCACTGGGTGGGAGCGGATCGGTGGTTGAGTACTTAGATAGGTTTCCGATTATTTTCTTTCTTTCCTTGTCCATCTCCACCTTTTGTTTCCCGCGGCACAACGCAGCTCGAGCGACACGATACGCCAGAAACATTATATTTGCCTGTGTGTATTTATTGCCTAAGCTTTTTTTTTCCCTTCTTTTTGTCTGCAAAGCTCACGCACACCGTCAACCACGCATATGTTTCAGTATCCCCGCTGGTTCGACTAACGAGCTCTGATGGACACGGCGTAGCTCCGTCCGCATCTCCCAGGTACACCGCATTGTTTATTTCGCTGTTTATCCGCCAGCGTCCCGAAAAGAGGCTTATTGCGGTATTACGGGGCACAGTACGAGTTACGTGTTTTGTTTTATTGTTCTGCGTTTTTAGTGAGTCGTGGATCAGTCTTCATCCTGTACCGTTGTCTCTGTCGGGAGCAATCAGACGACACGTTTCGCTACCATGTACTGTCGGAGAGATCAATGGAAGAGAACAGTCACCGTGGATCCGCTCTTCTCGTTGTTTGCAGTGTTCCGTGAACTGCATACCATTGCCGAAGCAGTGCGGCAAGAATAGACCGTTCCGGGCGCCGACGGCTATAGGTCCACATGAAAAAAGCCGATGAGACAGGCTTGGCTCGACACACGGGACATATTTAGTGGGTGCCATATATACGACAATACAGTCCATGATGGTTGTGATTCCTTCTTGTGTGTCTTTGTGTGTATTTGTAAGTGCCCTCAGGCTGCTGGCAACGATAGCGTGCCCTTACCAGAAACGAGCACGAAACGTTCGCCAAATTGCCGGCTCGCTAATTGGCCTAGAAGACGTCGGGTTCCTGAGACAAGTGCTGTCGAAGGATACTGCATCTGGTAAGGACAAGCGCATTGTGAGGCGGCATGTATATCGCCTTCCCAGGCACGCACGCACGCACGCACGCACGCACACACACACACACACACACACACACACACACACACACACACACACACACACACACGCGCGCGCACACACACAAACACACGCACACACACAAACACACACAAACACAAACACGCACACACAAACACACACACAAACACACACACACGCGCGCACACACACAAACACACGCACACACACAAACACACACGCACACAAACACACACACACACAAACACACACAAACACACACACACACACACAAACACACACACGCACACACAAACAAACAAACACACCCACAAACACACACACGCAAACACACACACACACAAGCACACACACAAACAAACACACACACAAACAAACAAACACACACACAAACACACAAACACACAGACACAAACACACACAAACACTCACACAAACACACTCAAACGCACACACACAAACACAACACAAACACACACACACAAACACACACGCACAAACACACACACAAACACGCAGAAAAACACACACACGAACACGCACACACAAACACACACACAAAATCACACACATGCCCCTGTCTTCCATGTTACACATGGAAGGCAGAGGCGTGTTTATGTGTGTGTGTGTGTGCGACATGGACCACCTAGAACTGTGTGCGACTGCAGAGAACAGCGTGCCCTCCTTTTATTTTTGCTTGTTCATGCGAGATATAGGAGAATGAATATGCACCCTATTATGAGTGCGTGTATTAGTATATACATGTGGTGACTGTTTTGTAGTGTCCTTTTTCCGTCATTGCGACGTATACACGGCGAAAAGACGTGTGTGCGTTTGTGAGTCTCTGTTACGTTTCGTCTGTCTCTCTCTCTTTTTTCATTACTGATGAGCCTTGGGGGATGGTTTGCTATACTTGCTAGTAGTAATCTAACAATAATTACGTTGAGTGAAAGCAGAGGGTAAGGTTTCGCATGTAATTTTTAATTTTATATAAAAAACATGAGAATGAAGGCTACATTAGAGCCGGCTATGCCAACATCATGGTAGTAATACACAAGATACCACAAAGATGAGAAAAATTCAAAAGAAGAAGAGAAGAAAAATAACCAGCAGCACTATGTACATATTTACAACATACGGCGTATGACGTATGAGCACAGTCTACGGATGCAGCTCATTTTATGCAGCATGGTCACAACGCGTATAGAGTCGGACAGATTTTCATGCACTTACATCTTGATTATCCGATATACTAATTAATGTCTCAATTATATGACAAGAGCAATGAGAACTATAGAGAGTTCGTTAAGTTGAATATTTTGAAGAAGTTTCAGCTGAATTGCTAGAGTTTCCCACGAGGTACCCCAGATGTACGCAGCTGTGTGGGCTAGAAAGTAGGTATTTAGTTGAAATTAACAAACTAAACTGAGCTATCACTGGCTATGTTGACGAAGAACTCGGGTAATTGCGTATCTCTGAAAGGCGTCTTTTTCCTATAATGAATATACAATGTCTTGTTGGTTTGTTGGTTGGTTTTGTTGTTAGCACCAACAATCAAGTCAAATCAAATCAGTTTATTTTCCGTTCTGTAATACAGAAAGAAAGGACTGTGAAAAAAAAAACTGTGTTCTAAAACAGCTTTTTTTTTTTTTACTAGTTCACGGCCCCCTACTATCGTGGCCCCAAACCGAATTCGGTAGATTGTCTAGGAAGATGATGGTAAAAATGTTGAAAGAAAAAAGGAGAAGCATTTACAAATAGAAAAACGCAAATTAAAGATGCAGTGTTGTTGTTGGTGTCATCGTCGTTAGAACGGTTGCTAGTACTTATGATGGATGATGAACATTCGCAAGTTTACTGCTTTTTGAAGCACCATTGGCATTGTTTTTTTCGTTATTTTTTTTCTTACTTCACGATTGCTGACCTATCTTGTAAGTCAGGATATATCAGTAACCATATAATCAGTACAAGATATGTGAAAAAAACAACAACAACGGTTATGAGAGAACAATAGGATATCAAGGTGGAGGATCGCTAGCTAGCATATCAAAAGCGTATGTTTAGCTTTGAAAATAAGCTATTTCATTAAAAAATATAAAGAGTAAAACACAGTTTGCACAGACTTCCTTAGCATGTCCGCTGCCGTGGATCAAAGGTAAGGTGCTCGGCTGCTGATCCGAAGGTCGCGGATTCAATCCCGGCCGTTGCGGTCTCATTTCGGTGGAGGTGGAATCGTTGAGGCCCGTGTACTCTGCGTTGTCAGCGCATGTCGAAGAACAGCGGATGGTCAAAATTTCCGGCATCTTCCACTACGGCGTCTATCATAATCATGGCTTGGTTTTGGGACGTAAATCCC